TGGCTGGGGTTTGGCTTCCCTGATCAGGTTGTGCACTCATTTCCAGGTGTCCAAAGGAGGCTCTGCCTTTGGGTCTGGGTGGAATCGATCTGTGCCCGGAGCCCAAACCAGGGAAAAGCAAAGGAATAAATTCCTGGGGTTTTGGCTCCCTGAGCAGGCAGTGGTGCTGTTTTGCAGGTGTCCAAGGAGGAGGGCTCTGCCCTGGCCAGGGAGTTCAGCTGCCCCTTCTTCGAGACGTCGGCCGCCTTCCGNATGGTTTGGGTTAAAATAAACCCAAAAACTCATCCAGTGCCAAGAGCAAGGACATTTTCCACCATGCCAGGGTGATCAAACTGCCCAACCTGGCCTTGGACACTGCCAGAAACAGCCACAGATTCCCTGGAAAATCTGGTTTAATGAATTTAATCCCAAATGTCCAAAGATTTCTGAGTTCAGCAGTTGAGTTAGATCCTCATCTCCTCAAGTTTGGGTGCAAGGGGATTTTTGGGCAATGTGCTCATGGAACCATGGAATGGTTTGGGTTAAAATAGACCCAAAAATTAAAACAGGCCCAAGAGCAAGGACATTTTCCACCATCGCAGATTGATCCAAACCCTGTCCAGCACTGCCAGGGATGCAGGGGCAGCCACAGCTGCTCTGGGGAATCTGATTTAATGAATTTAATCCCAAATCTCCAAAGGTTTCTGAGCTCAGCAGTTTCAGCTCCTCACCCCCCGGTTTGGGTACCAGGGGATTTTTGGGCGATGTTCCCAAAAATTGCCCCAATGATTTGGGTCTGGGATGGTTTGGGTGAGAATCAACCCAAAATCTCCCCCAGCGCCCCCTCCCGGCACCTCAGGGATCCAGGGAGGGATTTAAAACCCAAAATCCAAAATTCCAAAATCCAAAATCCAAAATCCATCCCCAACCCCTCCCTGTCGGTTTGGAGCTGCTCCCCCTCCGTCCTCTCTCCAGAATAAATAAATAAATAAAATCATTTATTTTTATCCTTAATCTCTGTCGATAATAAAGAAATAAATCCAATAAATAATTAATTTTTATAAATAATCTGTGTCCACAATAAAGAAATAAATCCAATAAATCATTTATTTTTATCAATAATCTCTGTCCATAATAAAGAAATAAATAATTTATTTTTATCAATAATCCCTGTCCATAATAAATAAATAAATCAAATAAATAATTTATTTTTATCCTTAATCTCTGTCCATAATAAAGAAATAAATCAGTAAGTAATTTATTTTTATCCTTAATCTCTGTCCACAATGGAGAAATAAATCCAATAAATCATTTATTTTTATCAATAATCCCTGTCCATAATGAATAAATAAATCCAATAAATAATTTGTTTTTATCAATAATCTCTATCAATAATAAATAAATCAATAATTTATTTTTATCAATAATCTCTATCCATAATAAATAAAAAAATCCAATAAATAATTTATTTTTATCAATAATCTCTGTCCATAAATAAATCAAATAAATCATTTATTTTTATCAATAATCTCTGTCCATAATAAATAAAAAAATCCAATAAATGATTTATTTTTATCAATAATCTCTGTCGATATTAAAGAATTAAATCTAATAAATCATTTTTTTATCAATAAATCTCTGTCCATAATAAAGAAATAAATCCAATAAATATTTTTATCAATAATCTCTATCGATAATAAATAAATCAATAAATAATTTATTTTTATCAATAATCTCTGTCCATAATAAAGAAATAAATCCAGTAAATAATTTATCAATAATCTCTGTCCATAATAAATAAATAAATCAATAAATAATTTATTTTTATCCTTAATATCTGTCCATAATAAATAAAAAAATCCAATAAATAATTTATTTTTATCCTTAATCTCTATCGATAATAAATAAATAAATAAATCAATAAATAATTTATTTTTATCAATAAATCTCTGTCCATCCTCTTGCTTGGCTCACCCTGAATCCTCCTCTCTTCCAGCCCTGCTTTAATTCAACATTTAATTCAATATTTAATTCCATATTTAATTCAATATTTAATTCAATATTTAACTCAATATTCACATTATTTTCCCCCGAGATTTATTCTTCCCCTGTGAATAAATTCCCTTTTCCAGCAGAAATTCTGATTTTCAGCAGCGAACCCGGAATTTCAATGTTTGTTACCCACGCTCACAAATGAGACAAAACCACGGAAAAATTAAATTTATTTCATTTTTATTTGCTTTAACAAATTCCACATACAAGGAAGCGTTACAGGATGGAGGTTAGCTTACAGGTTTTTTTGCCTTTTATTCTTTTATTATTATTATTATTTTATTTTTATTATTATTATTATTTATTTTATTTCCACACCAAGTCGTAACTGTCCATTTGACAACAGGAGACACAAAATAAAGAATAAAGAATAAAACCACACCTGGGGATTTTACAGTGAGTCTGCTGTCACTTTACTGCCTATTTTTATTTTTAATGTTTTTATTCTATTCAAAAATAGAAAATCTGCATTTTTTTCCACTTCTCTCTTATTCCAGATGTTGGAGCTCCTCCTACCTGCCCTCAATCCATTGACCCTGAGCGACAAAAAAATTCAATTTATTTTCCTTTTCAACCAAAGGAATTTGAAG